TATGTTTTCTAGAATCTTTGATATTTATATATTATTAATCAAACTTAGACCTCTCAATCATGAAGGTTTTAATCTAGAACGAGGGTGCTATACCCTGTGACCTTGCTAGTCTAATAGCGCCATCTCTATCTGAACTCTCTTTTGAACTTATTAATCTCGATGTTTGGTGCTGAAACTCGATCTTGGAATTGTAAGGACCACGACCGGACGCCTTGAACGATCAAACTAAAACTGCACTTTCAGTTCAATAGCTAATGTATCCGTGTCTATCGAAATAAGCGAAATCACTGCAAATCTTTGAAACATGCTCAACGTTTACAATATTTAGAAAAGCAAGGATGCTCTTCATAAGTATTGCGATCATTTATTTTCTACAGTACAGAGTTCAAGAATCATAACGTAAACAAAGTATATTTTAAAACTAAAATAATGTGACAAATTCCAATTATTAAACATGTGTTCCTACACTGATGTGTAAATGAAAGAGAAATTATTAATGAAAAATAAATGCTTTCATGACTATTAGAGTTCTCAACACAGCGCTCAAAAACACATTTAAAACAATTATATTCAGCTTCGTGCAATAATTCATCAATTTTCATTCACATACGGATTAAGATGCTCTGCTCAGTTAACTTTAAACATTCATAAAATAAAAATAAGATAGAATCTAAAAGGTCTTAATCTCCACATAAGAACTGCATATCTTCGATCACAAAACTTTCAGTTCTTAGCTGGACGTGATGCAACTCGAACGACGCAAGCACGCACTGGGGAATGTCATTATTTCTTATACCCTTGCTCTCCAAAATACAAGGAAGGATAAACACAGAACTTAGTCGAATCACGGGCTTCAGATCACAAATATTTCAATGTGCTAGATGTACGTGCTATCACTTACACCGCAAGAACACGCAAGGGGTATTGCGATAATTCAATATATTTCCCTTCGCTTAAAGGACGAAACAGGAAGCGGCACATGACACAGTCGACCAAACCAAAAAGGCGGCCAATTATCGTCTACCCCACTTTTTATTTCAGGTACCACTGTACAAATATTAGATTTTCAAGAGCAGGAAACATAAAAAATCAACAGTGACAGCACAGGGATTCCAACTACAAATCTTTCAGTTTGCTAGGTGGACATGCTATCCAAGAGATAGGTACAGTAGAATACGATAATTCCTTATATGATGAGTAGCTAATGTCTGTTAGCTATTTTCCATATAATATCTTACTTAAGACATTTAATTCTGATTACAGAAAGGTGAAGAACAACGAATCTCATTTAGGAGAGAATCTCCATTATCAGAGACAATGAGATAATGCTTTACTACCATGATTTAAGTTTTCCCTTTATGTTAAAACCCTATGGGATGTGTTTTTCTTCGTTTAGTTTGCTATCCACTTTTTGAGTTAACCATATACTTGGTCTAAGTGACAATCCTAAGGTGGCATAACATTTGATTGATTTAAACGACTTTCTGCTAATTTTTGAAAAAAATGGTCACCATTCATTCTGAGCAACCGATTACTGATTTTAAATAAAGAATAACACAAAATTAGATTACATACGTATTCGCACAGCTAATATTTATAAATTAAGGCTCCTAGTTTCTCTCGATGTATTCGAATGAATTTATCAATCAACTGAATAAATGCTGTCCTAAATTTACGAAGATCAGTACCAGTATATCTTGTTCATTATTAAAATATATATTAATTAAATCTGTGAAGAACCTAACTTGAAAATAAACATTTGAACCTACATCTGAAAATAAACATTTGAACCTACATCTGAAAATAAACATTTGAACCTACATCTGAAATTAAACATTTGAACCTACATCTGAAAATAAACATTTGAACCTACATCTGAAAATAAACATTCAGGCGGTAATCATAAGATGATACTTACTTTAGTTTTGAATAAGGAGACATCTGGAAGATACTGATTTCTTTCTTTGCTAAGTAAATGATAGTTTTAGATCACTTAAATTATAAACAATAGCTTCTTAATATTTTTGAGATTATAGATACTACTAAGGGAACATTTTGATTTTCTTTAGAGAAATACCAGAAATTGGTAGTGACAATCAGTAACCATATACTCTAGACGTGCGTATAATGTGGAAACTAAAGATAAGTCTTCCTTAAAATTTTAGTTAATTTGGTTTTCCTGTATAAATTTAAGTCATCAAGATACTTTGAAGAAGGATCACATGACAAATGAGCAGTGCGCTTGAGAAGACTCAAACCGTGGACCTCTCGAATATGCGCCGAGTCTGCTACCGTTACACCACGAAGGCATGCTGGAAAAAGAGAGAGAAAATACCTTATATACTCCCTCTTTCAAAGGGCGAATGGGATTAAAGAACGCAATCGCCAAATCCTGGTAGTGAGGAATAAAGCAGGAGAGTTGAAAAATGTGCAATGCCCTCGCTGAGATTTGAACCCTGGGCCTCTTAAATACGCGCCAAGTATGCCACTATTACACCACGAAGGCGTCCTGGGAAGGAGAAAACACCTAATACATTTAGTATTCTAAAATTTAGGTATGAAAATGGTTCGTGTTTCTGCAGCTTATCTGAATTAAAATTCAAAGATCGTGCTAAATGACAAGCTAAACTGAGCACAAATTCTTTTGCAAAATTAATATTCATAGAAACTGAGACTTGGACTATAAATTAACAAAATTTGCACATGTCAAAAATTGTAAAAATCTATTTCAGATTTTAATCTTCTGAATATCTGTACGCATAAATAATATCTGCGATATAGTTGATATTTACAGTCGTTTATCTAAAGTTCCTAGCCACTAGATAGCCAAAACATTTTAATAAATTTCCACAAATACAACGTTGTTCAAATATGACCGAGAATGATTGTTTTCACCAAAACATTTATTTGCAATTAGAGAATTAAACATATATGACTCTTCAACGTTACTATCCTGGAGAATCGATATATTTTTGCCAACATTATGGTAGCATTTTCATGCCCTTTTCGTAGAAGTTTTCATTCGGTTATTAATCCACTCCTGAACAAGACGGTAAACGTGTCATTAGCCAAAAATTTATTGCCAAGTGAGATTTAAACCTGGGATTCCGAAATGAAATGATCGACCCACATTTCATGGACGGTCGCTATGGGCTTCAAAATGCATCCACTTCATCTTTAAACCACTGTATTCGAGAAATGCATGTGCATTATTTTGTTCTCGTTTGTCAACGAGTGTGGAATCCACCGGGCATACATCTTGCCATAGTCCAAAAGCTTTTCCACAATGGTTTCTACACTAGCAACATTAATTGAAAGCATCAGCGCAAGTTATTTGAAAATGATCTGCCTAGTCTCATAAATAACTGCATTTACATGATCATTGCTTGTCAGGATGAAAGATGTTCTCCGCGCTCCCATCCCTTAATGAAGTACTTAAGCTTCGTTTACACTTCGTTCGTACTCGAGTCATTTTACAGTCATAACAGGTTAAGTCGAGCTTCGTTGCTGAGCAACCAGACCGCTACGTCACAGAAACTGGTTTAAGGATTTTGCCTAAAAGTTTTAACTTTTCAACTTTGTACCAATTAGGTATAAGAACTACCGATCACAGTGAAGTAAAGACTGGTCGATGGTTTCGCTAAACCAGCTACATATTTATGCATGCACAACTTTCCCTTCCTTGACTAGCTGTGGCTTTAAACCCTGCTAAACCGGTGTGGATGGATTAAGTGACATTTATGCCTTAAACCACAAAGCTTTATTACAACAAAATCGTCGTCTGAATGAGGCCTTTACATAATTCAAATGTTTGGGTCCTAGGCAGACACTCTTCTCCACACTGTACTCGAGTCATTGTCAAATTTTATATATGTCGACGTTTTCTAGAACGAGAAATTTGATCACAATACATTGTTCCTCCCTCTTAGGCGGCTGATGTTCTCTCATCATTCTGACAACTGAATAGGTTCTAATCTCATGGTAGTGTAGTGGCTGTACTCAGCGGAGAATACACCGTGTGTGACCATAAGCAATGGTTTGCAACAGCATCACTCCTGATCATACTTAAATTCCCTATTAATTTACAGCTATATTTCACGGTACTATGCGAATACTTTAATGGCAAAATTGAAAATTTCACAAAAAATCTTAGAATTCTTAATTTTATTTTTCTAAAAATACTGTAGGCTGGCAGAGGGCATTCGAATGCTGAATACTGCTATGTATAGTACCTTGTTAACACATCAGCATAACCTTTCCTTATTTGGATTTTTTTTTCTGAAGCTATAAGAACAGTATAAAGAAGAATTAGCAAGAAACAGAAGAACAACGAGTTTTTTTCATGTGTTTCATTTACAGCTTTAAGCAAAAAAAAAAAAAAAAAAAAAAAAAAAAAAAAAAAAAAAAAAAATCAAACAAAGTTATTTTGAGTTATAGTCACAAATAATTTAGATTCAATAATTCAAATTCAACTTTACTGATTTTTCTCTACTACTACTACTTTCTCTCTACTACTTTTTTCATCTGGCAAATTCTTTCGTTATGCACATGAAATAGGTTTAATTTTGCAAGTTCAATTGCCCTTTTCATCTTAGTTTAACTGCTTTAAAATGTTAATCTCATGTAAAATGTTTAAAGGCCGAAATATTTCCTGTTTTGCGATCGGCAAATTCAAGACAACCATACCTGAGAGGTGCAATAATTATACTTTTATGAAAATGACGTATTGTTTATTGTGTGCTACGCTATTTACTACTACTGAAAAAAAGACCAATGCTCACTTGTTTACATTGTTACATGCCTGATGTGTAATAAAGTCTCCTCGATAACACAGTCTGAGCGAAGTACTGAAGGGATCAAGACAGCAGAGAGAAGAAGGGAAAGACAAAGAAAGAGAAACGGTTAAAAACAACAACACATAAAGGGGAAACATTTTTCTCTTTTTTATCTGTTCGCTACTCTGTTAGCATTGGAATAGAACTTACGACTCCTATATCTACCTTTCAAATTCTTCATTGTAGTATTTGTAACCCTTGTAGATGTCGTTATTTAATGCGTTGATCAGATCGATGAGGCCTCTCAAGGTCGATTTGGAATCCTAGAATAAAAGTTAATATAGAAAATTAATATGATATATCAAAAAGAATAAAATTTTTGCTCTAAATAATACGGATACATTATGTCATGAAAAATTAATGAAAAAAGTTCAGAATATTAAAAATCTAATATTATTAAGCTATAATAACTGCATGATTCGTATTTTCTGGATATTAATATTAATAAAGAAGTAGTTTCAAACTCTGGTAATTAATTCTAAAAATATTCGCTGTATTAAGTCTTTTGTCTACCTTCAACAGCGCCCAGTATACACTCAACGCGTCATTTCCGCCCACACGTTCTAATACAAAGTAAACTTTTGAATCATTCTGCATGTGTAGTAATAAATTGGCATTTATTAAATTTCCCAGAAATAATTTAAATAAGTGGTAACAATTCACAATTTCCACGTAAAAGCCAACAATTTGTGTGCATTTCTTTAAAAAAATGGTGGGGGGAAGAGGAGAATTCACAGCTTGCAACATTCATAAATATTTCCTTTCTTTAACTATCCATATGTATCTGATAGCCTTAATGATTATTATGTCTGTTCATGTAGCCCTTTTTCAGGCTTACGGCTCTTAATAGCAAAGGATAAAGTTTAACTTGTGTCAAATAATGAAAAGAATTAGTAAGAGAAACAGATATATTCCCAAGGTTTCAAAAGACACGATTGCCTAATTTGCCATGGTTAACGTACAGTAGATCCATCTCAGAGGGAATGTATCAGCTTTGGTGGCAACGTCTAGCTGTTTCTACCCAGGCCCTGAATATCCCCATGCCCAAATGAGTGAAATGAGTGAGTGAGTGCACCGCTATGATGGCTTCCGACCATGGACATGAACCAAACGGAATTATATACCATCACGGCGGGGAAGACTCCAAAGTAACAAGGTTGAATATTACATACTAATAACAGGTTTTACATATTGATAACTGCAGGCACTAAGCGTTATTCTGGTTATCTGCTTTAAGTTCTGAACATTTGAAACATAATATTATTCACGGTTGTTTCTGCTTAGGCAGTGTCTTGAGATTTTCTCTATTTTATCAAGGGCTATTCTGTTTTTGAGTGTTTTAGACGTCCACATTGCCTAGGCAAAGTCCGCTGGTTTCTTCAAGTGCCAGCTTCTTCTATGTACACAATGGAAGTAAAAATGGTTCGTGTCGCCTTCCTCTCCGCATTCGCAGAAAGGAGTATCCCTAAGTCTGAATCTGTTCAGGTATACATGAACATGGGAATGGTCCATGATCTGTCAAGAACTGTGTTAGGCTAGCACAGTGGGTCTTATTTCCATGTTAACTTTTGGCAGTAAGCGAAATGTCCTTCGTCCTACCTCTGCCTCTGTCCATCTACTTTGCCAATTTTGTAGGAGACTTGTCAAAGTTGTTCGCTTAATATGAGACCAAGGAAGTTTAGTTGGTCTTCCTAATATATCCATAGCCCAGTCCACTAAAACATCTAATTTTCCTTTTAAAAACATGAAAATATTTTGTTGAGCACCCTGGAAAGATGCGGCTTTTAGAGCACCTAGATTGTCTTTATCGGGTCCCGTGTTCACTATTTCAAAATTTACTCCGAGCCCAGTTTTTATTTTAAGTATTGATTTCAAAGTTGAACCGATTTTTTTTTATTGGAAGTGCAAAGCTACGGGTATTTGAAAAATTAATCCAAGCAATTTAAGGAGCAGACCCAAACGCAAAGAACAAAAGAGTACTATGACTTTTCTTAGATGTATTATGCACGTTATCCTATCTTTTACTTCATAGGATATACATCAATAATTGTAAGATTTATATGTGCCTGAAAGGTCTGTAAAATGTCTTATATAAAATTTTTTCTGTTTTCCTTCTGATTAACTTCTGAGATTCGCCACTCAGCGCAGGATTTATGTATAAGCTACACAAGCTATAGCTTAGGGCCTCAGCTTTCTTGGGGGACCGCAAAAAATCCTCTTGGGTATCCGAAAATTATATTTGGCACTGACATATTTTATCTGGACTTATAAGACTCCCATACCTCAAATAGCTTAGGGGTCTTATCAAATCTAAATCCGGCCCTGTCTCCACTAGTCTATTATCAACGTTTTCATAGGAATTTACATAATTTTACACATTACTTTTAAAGTGTTTGTCTGTAAAACAAGCACGAGCAGTAATATATTTAATATAGTATTATTTTATTACCATGAAGTCTTTCAATGAACATGATTCATTTTGTAAGCTTATTCATTTTAATTTAAAGGTACTAATTTTATTTTAATTATTTAGGACCAGCTGAGTTAATGATTTTAACGGGCGAAAAGGATACTTCTTCAAATGAAAACCATGTTGATGTGCTTCAACAACGTCAAGGGAAATATTCATGACGAATTCTTTTCTAAGAGAACAAACTGCCAGTGCAATGGGTTACTTTATATATTTACAGTAGAGAATTATTGAATTAGACATAATTATTCACCGCATCGTTTGTAGGTTTCATTATATGTGACAATACGCTAATACACCAAGCAGCGACTATACAGGATATTTTCCTAAAAAAATAAGCGTTTTGTTCAAGTAGCCCACCATCTCCTTAGATTTTTCATGCTCTGTGATTTATTTTCCGTTTCTCAAAATTGAAGTAGCTATTGAAAGAGCACTTCTTTGATGACAATAATGACATCCAAAGAGCATAATGATCTCTTATGCAACCATGAGTTGATGAAATTATCTCTTGTGCAATTAGTCTTTCAAAAAAAAAAAGAAGTTTATCACTTAAAAAGGCTCAATCTGTTAGAGACATTTCTGGAAATGGTAGAGATAAGAGTAGTTGCTTGATATAAGAAGCAGTCATAAAGCTCAGAATGGTGATAGGGTCATCACATAATCTGAAAGTTTAAGTTGTTCTCATCCATGAAAATAAACTTCTGAGATTGTTGAGGAAGGTGGGAGTTGTCACTGAATATCGTGCTAATCCAAGTGGAACGATTCGGCACGAGTCATTTGTTTGGTCAATGGCAATACAATATGCCACCTGATATAGATGCTCTATCCATTAGATATGAGTGAATAAGTTATAAATTCATTCCCTGATGCACTAATAGCTCGATGGAGGAAGGAGAATGTTACGAATGAACAAACTGAAATGCTTAGCAACACGATACTTATGTAAACATCAGTGTGTTAACACCACCTAAAATTTTGTGTTTGATAAATAAAAGAAACATCTTCCGTTGCAAATAACTGTTGTTGAAATAATTTTTTTTTGATTGTTAACTCGTACTTCTGTAAACATTTTGTCGTGAGTAGCTATAAATAATAATGCAAAACTATTTTATAAGTGTGTCTGAATTCAGTTTTCTCCATCCCGTAATTTTAAACGATACATACGCTTGAAATAGAAATTTGCCCTGGATATTACATTAACCAGTCCTCACCATTACCACAAGAGGACTTCCTTTCCTTTCCCGGTTTTGTAAGGTCGAGCCGCCTGTTCTATCTACGTAAAATGGGTACATTTTGCATAAAAACACACAATGCATTTTGATTACTTTCTTTGCTTTTTATTTGTTTTGATTTGATTTGAGGTCGTGGTCCCATCCCACTCAGCCAACTTTGTCGTAAGGTTGCCTTTTTATCTACTTTTCAATTTTATGCTTTCATTAATTAATTATTATGTTACGAAGACGCGCAAATGAAGCCACAAAAAGCAGCTTTAGCACTCGGCTAGTTAAGACTGACTGTTCTATTCTATGAGACTCAACTGATGTTTACTATTTCTTTTTAAACTTTATATAGTGAGCGGCCACGCAGGTAATCATGGAACTACCTTACTGAAAGCGATTCAAATTAATTCCTAAAAATAAAATTGATAATATTTTACCCTAAATTTATTTTTCAAAGCAGTAGAACAACAATGTATAAAAATCATTAGGCAGGATTTAACGCTCTCATGTAGTTCCCACACATTCCTTAGTTCTATTCATTTTCATGTATGTTTAAACTAAATTTCTTTTCTAAGTTGACTTTTTACCAGAATATTATAATTTTCAGTACCTGAAATTCAAATTCATAGTTTAGACTCTAACTCGTGCAATTTTAGACTCTGAAGCGTTTTACATTTAGCAGAAATCTTGGCATAATGCAAAACAAATTTTCTTTAATGACGTTACAGTAGTAGTCGGAAAAGAGTGTCAGTGATGGTAACCTCAATTCTAGATCTGATATTTTTTTTAATTACATGCGGTAACCGATAAAGGACAGCAGTCTCTATTTAATGAAACATGATCCTTATTGAGATGATGATCCTTAGAGAGGCGATAATGATGAGAAACATCTTTAGAATGTTTTGTGTTTACAAATGTTCAAATTGCAGTCATCAGTTCCCCTCCCAGATTTATCTGCATCAGCGTAGGAAACAAGATCGTTTGCATATATAATCCTGGCCACCACATCATATCGCATCAACATGCTATAGCCGACTATATATGAATTTGTTCACGGAGTTTTCAAATTCCTTTTGAATAATTAAATTTTGCGTACGGTCCAAATTATGTTCACAAAATTCTAATCAAAAGGTATGGAAAATGAATCCTTAAATTTATTTCCCTTACGTAAAGATTTAAAACATGAATATGACCATTTATTCTGTATATATTATGACACAGATTACAGAATTTTTATTTTAGATTTTTCATTATTAGAGTTATGCAAAATGTCTATTTCTCTTATTAATGGGTCATTTCTCTGAATTCTCAAGAAAATTCATAAATCATATAATAAAAATCACTTCCACAGCAATCCAAAATACAACAAGAGTCAGTTTAAATTTTAGAATAAAAACACTACGGTCATTTTTTGTTGTTATGTTAAATTTTCTTTTTATTAATTATAAATCCTGTATATGTACACATACATAGATATATATATATATATTTATAAGAATTTAAGTATTTTAAAAAATTATAGTTAATTATTAATTTATTTTTAGCTAATATTTAACAAATTATTTGATTCTACATTAATTATTAATTTCAAAAGCTTTACAGGAATAAAAATATGCTTTTCATATTCATTACCTTTTTGGTCTGTAATTCGGCTAGGGCAAGCTGAGTATTAAACCAATCTACAGTGCCTTTCTGTAAAAGACAAATAAAGCTTGATATTATTATTAAACTGACAACAACTCATTATAGCAATTAAAACAATATTTCCTAAAAGATAGCAAACATTCACTTCATTGCAATGTAACATTACAAGATGTCAGTTCATGAATCAGCGATAAGTGCTAATAAACGTCGAGGAATTTAAGATATCACACTATCAAATCGCAGGACTTAAAAAATCTCCTATAAATAAATATGTCTTGTGAAAAGGGTATTAATTTAATATAATTTTTGCAATTTCATGTAGGAAATAGTTGCCTTCGACTAGACTGTTATACTATTTAAGGCTTTCCCAAGTGCCACTTTTATAAACTAGGCTGTTAAAAGCTTGAACATTTGTATGCCTTAGCTACACGTCTGAAATCCTCATTATGCATAGCCTCATGTTTTTCCTTTATATCGTTGCAATTTCAGTTTGAGCCGTATATTTTAATTATTATATTGATCTTGTGCGTTTTATTTATTATTTTCATAATTTTTGTTTTCACTAGTCTTCTGAAAGCAGGAAACACGCAAAATCAGTCATGTTTTCGTCGGGATTCGAACTCCAAATCTTTCCATTGCCTAGCCTAGCATGCCAACAATTACACCAAAGCACGCGATGAGGTTGGAGAAATTTCTTATTATTATACCCTGTTTAAAGGGGCAGTTGACTCGGCAGAGTGCAGTCCTAGTCTCCAAATCCCGATGGTGATGAAATGTCGTCCACCGCCTTTTTAGTCAGGTGCCACTGTAGAACCTTTACGTTTAGTAGTGTTTTATCGTTTACTTATCGTGAGCAGGAAACAAGAAAAATCAGCCATGCCCTATCCGTGACTCGAACTGCGGGCATTCCAATTTGCTAGCCGTAAATATTCCCAGTTACACCACCAAGGAATGCAACGAGGAAGGAAAAAAGCTTCTTATATTCATCCTTATTCTGGAGCCCTGGCATTCAATATGCGAATCATTCATTTGCTACTTGAATGTACCACTGATTACTCCACAAAAGCACGTAGTGTGAAATTAGGAAATTCCTTATAACCTGTGTAGATAAATGTTTACTTTTAACGTGTGTAATGGCAAAAAATAGTTTGTGCAATCATGCGTTTTGCCACAAAATAGCATAAAAATGTGCAAAGAGGTTAAATGTTAAAAACCTGACCACAAATCTGTTTATAATATTAGAAAGAAATAATATAATAAATGTAATATAATAATAATAGAATATAATATTTGTATATAATAATAACTATATAATAGTATATATTACTGATAATCTATTGATAAGATTATATGTATACAATATATGATCTCTTTTGTGGGTTAACTAAGAGAAGTTTACTCACTTTTAAGCTATTTGTAATCTCAACATGTAGGTCATGTCTAAAAGGGCAGCACCATTTGAAAGCCTTTTGGCCATGGAGTACAGATAAACATCTGCACATGAAGAAAAAAATATTTTTATTATGAACATCCATACTACACTTTAAAGGAAATTTTGAATGACGGTTTAAAAATAAAGCATACTACTTGAGCAAATGGGTGAGCTTGTGTTGAGCCAGGGTATTTCCTGGTGGGAAAAGATCTCTATGCTTCTGCATAAGCTTCAGGGAGAAATCCAAGAAAATGTTAAAAGATTCCGCTAAGGCTGCCTCCTGTCAAACATATAACCATAACTCCAGTTGCGATACATAAGGAAATTGACATTTTAAAGTAATTTATGTACAAAATATTCTTTAATGGCTGGAAGAAACGATATACCTCATCTCTTGAAAGTGGGTTTTCCTGTTCACCCCATGCTCTACTAAGATCATCCAGCAGTTGGTAGAGTAAGGCATAGTCCAGAGGCACTTCCATGAGCTGTCTGCTGTACATGATCCAACGACTAAGAACAGAATGATAACATTCCAAATGGGCAAAACATGGCATCAATAGAGAGCATATAGCAAAAAATCATTATTAATTGTTACTTCCATTTTAATGATCACGTCATGAAAATATACTTCAATTCTCCATGTTTAAAATTTGAGGGGAGACAGATAATAATATTATTATCATATTCATATTCAAATTAAGAAATAAGGACTGGAAACGAAAGATGGCTCTGCGTGTGAGCGCTCCAGTGGACACATGGGCTCCTTTATTAAAAATAAGAGTGTACTGGCACTTCTTACATGTAACAGAACAAAACTTCCAGCAGAAAATTATTTTTTTCTCGAATATTCATTTTAATAACAAAATTAAATTAAAAATCGACTTTAACTTCTGAACTCATGCTTCTCTTTCCCTGGGAAAACCCTTAGACTAAGGTTGGGATTTTTAAGAAAAGAAAAAAAAACTACAACCGAAGTGTCAAAGCTAACTTTTCAGAAAAAGCTATGAATATTTCATTTCGAAGCTAGTGTCTTCTAGCAGAAAAGAGCACCTGCAGAATTTTTGGAATTATAATACCAAATACGTAGAAATGTAAATTGTCACTTGTTACTTTCTTCTCAATTAATCTTTGGATTCGGGGAATATTTTTGCCCCTGCCCCATTCTATTTAACAGTTAGAATTATTTTGGGGACCATGGTCAGTAAGTGATGGACTCTTCTTTGTTTTCATACCTACAAATCATCTGTTAAAATTTCCCCCATACGATGCTACTATTTATTATACGACTTTAATAACGACCAAACGGAAGTGATAGTTTATTTAAAGGTTTTTGTTATTCCGTCAATTTTATGTTTTAGCATGGAATTGGCAAAAGGTCATATGCTGGCCGAATAAGATTTTTTCTGCGTAACATTTAATTGTTTTAATTCAGCCTAAAGTCTAAGAACCATATGTTGTATGAAACGGACGTACTGTAACAACAAATGCAAGAAATAAGCCTCATGACAAATATATAACTGCACTGTAGAAATGCTGGAGAACGCGAGAAGAGAATCCAGTATGGAGGAAAAAAATAAGGAGCATTGTAGCATAAACGTAATGTGCATTATAAGTAAACTTTTTTAACAAAGGGGATATTTTTTCCAGATGACAATGATTTGGACTTTCGAGAACTAAATTTTTGGACACTGATCGAATTCTATAATAAGGGAAAAAAAGTTGCAGGCAAAACAATATCTAGCTTTAGACCACGTCCAAAAAACTCCCTCAAAAAAGAATTTTAAAGGGTTCAGATTTTAACGGTCGTTCAAAAGGGCTGTTTTTAAGTTTATTATGGTGTGGTAGTAGAGATTACAAATAGAGATGGCCTAGGAAGAACAGTGAAATATTTTATTGGCTACTAAATATACATTTAGAGTGACATAGGAATGTAATATCTCTTCTTTATGTTTGAAAAGTGAAAAATTAAATAATGAATTTTATGAAAATATTTAATGCTTTAATTAGATATACTATGAGTTAAATGCATTTTTATTTAAAACAATCAGATTAAAAAGTAAGAAAAAAACAATGATCTTAAGAACTGCCTCTGTTTGCTTTTAATAGTTTAGTTTGTTGATCAATAACAGTTTAAGGAAAGATAGATATTTAAATTTTACCGAATTGCAACAAACTCGAATGAAAAGGCAAACAACGCAGAATCGGTTTTCGAGACTAAGAGTCCTTTTTGGCTAATATCACGGAGTTTTAATTAACAATGTCTAAAAAAATTCATGTGGATGGATGGATTGTATGAGACAGCAATAAGTTTTGTTCTATTGTCACGCTTTCAGATATGAGGCAGTTAGTACAATGCTAGCATTAAAATCACTACACCATGAGGGCAGCATGTAGCAAACATCCAACTGGCATGAAATGCACTTATGTTTGGCATAAGAAACGATTAGTATTCTAGCGCATGGGCAGAAAACAAGCTAGAGTAACATTATCTGCATTGCGCCGTAAATGCGCAAACTTCGGTGTCTTCCTTTTCCGCGATTTCTGTTTCCGCGGTTGTCAATAACGTTCCTGTTTCCGCGAAATCATCAGTCTTCATGACCCCCCTTACCAAAGGGGTTACATAGTGGGGGACGAATCGACCTTGGCCTCTGCCGAAATGTAGGAAAGTAAAAAAAAGTTTTAGATTTAAAAAGACGAATTTTTAAAAGAAATAATCAAAAAATAGTATTTACGATCTCAGATCTTTGCAAGAATGAAGCTAATACTGTATTTAAAAGTACAGAGAGGGAGAGAGATGTTCAAACTCTGCGATGATTTTGGCAATGAACTAAAAGAATGTTTCCTAAAGTAAAAAAAATAGTCTTCCAAAATTCTGCATAAAGGTGTCTATAAAATTCTTTCAGAATAAATATTCGTTCTAAAGCGACGTTCTTTCTTCTAAAATCACGACTTCTCTGGTCTTAATTACAGCTTTTAGCTCTTTCATTTCTTCAAATCCAATAAAGTAGATTTTCCTTATTTTTATTCCGAATCCGATACTGATTACCTTTATTAAGGTCTAAAGGTTTTTTTCCTTTTAGATCCAATAATGTATAAAACATAAATAAACATAAATATTGATTAACATAAGATGTGAAAATAACAGGTAATATTGTAGCAGAATTACAAAAGGAAAAACTGTCCAGTTCTTAATAACTCATCGTTACATCTCCTGAAGAGCAGTGGGAGGGAGCTGTACTCTCCGATTTCGCAGGAACAGAAAGAATTTTGCGAAACGCGGAAAGAGGAATCGCGGAAACAGAACCTAACTCGAAAATTGTATACCGGGTTTCGCATTCCGAAATCGCATTCAAGTGTTGGTTGTCTCGGTAGAGATCATTTTAAGCTTCATATAATAAGGAGAAACTCCTATCAATACGTGTCTGAATTCAACTGCTACAGGATCGGGACCTATATGGATTGCGGTATATCATTCCACGACACTGCTCTCTGCATTGGTCGGGATCAAGCCGATACGTAATCCTGAAATTCAGGAGAGTCATACTGACCGCCATGCAGGATATCAGTCATCCCGGGCCTATAACGCCCGATAGAACAAACCGTTTTCTTCTCGACCTGGGTGGATTGTACAGCCACGTCAGGTACTTTGAGTAAGACACTTGTCTAGTGTGCAGGAAAATAAGTACCCGGAACCGAAATGTTCCCACGAACAGCGTCACGACGTCTGCAGCACCATGGTCTGTCATCACGGCTGCCATTGTTGAAGCTTCCCTTGACGCTGAAGCTAAGACAGGTGTGTGTACAGTAGTACTACGAACAACACTGGAGCCAGAAGTGGTCTGGAGCACCACTGGAGCCGGACCACGTCACTGTTGCAGGGGTCCAGCGTACAGAATCACGATGGACGTATTTGTGTGAGCAGATACCAAGGAAAACGAAGGTTGCCAAATGGCATCCGTCATCATCATATGGCATAGCAGCTGGCGTGCTAATATGAAGTCCATCGGGTACACATCCCGATCACCTTTTGTTTTCATAACCAGTAATTTGGACAATCGCTGTTACATTTCTGACATGTTAAGGTTGTGTACCCAAACCATCTGCAGAAAAGTTGTATTACTGTCATACACCTTGAATGGATTATGAGGAGTATGGCCATTTTTTGCAAAGATTGTATTTCTCCTTTTGTCCATCATTCCACGCTAT